CAAGCAGCTGATGTTTAAATTGTGTTTGTAAGCAAATTGCAATTGAGGTCTTCTCTAGAAACTTGGTACCCTGGGACAGTCTTGAAAATTAGATCTGCATATGACTAACAGAAACTTGTTGTACAATGTAATTAACTTAACTGAGGTAGACCGTCATAAAACGACACTATGCATAAGGGGTAAGTCTCCAAGGTCTTGTGTCATAATGTTTGCTTTGTGATTCATGCCCGAGAAAGAGACCCTTTCAGTCCCTTGCAGTAGGTTCCATCACTTTTGCAAAGGTGTCCTGCGCTCTCTGGTGGAAATATGGATAAATGCAGAAACCTAGGTTTTCGAAAGGAAATACTTTTGCCAATGAAACATAGGCATAGGGATATCCGACAAGCTCTCAGTGAGACGTAGAAGAAAGGTGGCTTTCCCTGATGAAACATGTAAAGTCTCCTCACAAGCTCAAATCTTCTGCCACGTTCCTCCCAGCCATTGACTTCCCTACAAGGCTCCGTGGCTCCCAAGGTTCAGATACATGCCAGCATGTGCACAGCTAATGCCTGCAGTCCAACCTGTATCCAAACACTGAAAGTTCTTTTAATTAGAACTAGTTCTGACATTTGCAATGGTCTTAGCAATGGATCCTGCTTAGGCTGAGAAAGTCGGAGTGACCAGAACATTACAGCAACAGCAGAGCCTATAAGTAGCACTCTGGCTGGGCTACAAGACAGCATCAAATGCTACCAAAAAACTTCGCTTTTCAGTCATCAAAATCACTGTCAGCCTGTTGTGTTAGCTACTGACAGGCCTTAGTCCAGTATCACCACCCTGCCCAGCCTTGCCAGGTGACTTCCCAAATCATAGAATAATTATGGTTCGAAAAGACCTTCAAGATCATCTAGTCCAAGATCATAAAGTTAGGAAGTAGGTAACTAAGAGATAGAGGGATGTGGGGTTTCCCTCATTCCCCAGCTATGGGGCCCAATAGCCCATCAGGGCCCCTTGATGAGCCCCCAGTTGGCCATGGGTTGCGAAGCGCACCACACTGGCACTTGTCCTCTTTGCCCCAAATCCACATCTATAGAATAGTCAGGAAACATCGGACATTGTATTTTTTTTTTCACATCTTAATTTCTCAAAATATCTCCACAGGCCACAGCTTGCTGGAGTGTTGTGCTGAGGTACTCTGTGTGCAGGACTGAATGTAAGAAGCAGAGTGATGTTAAACTTTAAGGGGCAAATCCTCAGCTGTGAGCCATCTCAGTGGCTATTAAAATCTACAAAAATGAGTGTTGCTTTATTTGAACCTTTGACTAGTTCTGTATGCGCCTGCAGGTTCAAGTAGACTCTTGCTTTTATTGCAGGAAAATCAGCACCGTGATCTTTTCTCTCTCTCCTCTATTCCTTCCAGAGGACAAACAGCTCCACCAAGGTAACATTAAAACACAGTGAGCCCAGCATGTTGATTTGTTCATCCTCAGGTAAAAGACTCTCATTCTAGAGAACTCTTACCTCTTTAATTCCTCGTTTTTTACTCCGAATTTTAAATGCATTAGAGAGAGAAACTTTTTTTGTCTTAGGAATACAGAATTGTGTGTGTATTACAGAAACTGCCCACTCCTGCAGTCATTTAAAGGGGTTTCAGATCAAGACACCAATCACCTCTAGTCTCAGCAGAGACAGTGAGGAAAGAAGCTGTCTCATGTATTCTTGCTAAGCCTTTTAGGCATTTTGCAATCCAGCACCTTCATCTTCTGTCGGCCAACAGCGCTAGTTCACTCCATAGAAGACACGTGCATGTTCATTGAATGTAGGCAAAGGAATCAGAAACACATATCAAGGCAAAGATCCACTCCAAAGGGGATTGCTTCAGATGGACTCTGCACTAAGGGTGGGGAGGGATGGTTTTATAGCCCGGCTCTTTTCCTTCCGCCTGCCACAGGCCTCTCTAGTGGTCTTGGAGCCACAGCCCTGCTTTCTACTTGTCATGCAAGTTTCATCAAATATGTCAAATTTTATCAAGCTTACTAAACACTTACATATCCTATAGAGATATGATGAGGAAAAATGTTAGAACCAGAAACTGAATGCTGGTTTTGAGCTGTTAGAGTTCTTCCAAGTACAGATTTAAAGCAATTTACATTAATAAGAATAACTGGAAAGACAGCTATATCCAAAGCTTACACAATGGAAGTGGGGGAAATGTATTCTTGCTGAACCCAGCAGAAAAAGAAGTCAGAGAATCTGGCTTCATGTGGTGTTTCAAGAGCACCATCTTGTGGTTTTCCCTTTTCATAACACATTATATATATATTTGTAGTACAGCATCATTTCCTCAAAGTGGGTGTCAGTCTTTGGCTTCAGATGTGGATTTTTTGAGAGGGTGACTAAAATCTTTCCACAATCTTAATCTGATTTCTTCCTGAACTGTATCAGTCAGAGCAGACAATTGTCTGAGCTTTTTCAAGTGCAATAGCTGCCACAGCTTTAAATTTTATATTTAAATTAAACTCCTTCTAAATAAATTATTCTGACATTTTAGGATGTAAGTTGGTCACAATGGAGCCCTTGAGTAGTGGAAATATAACTTGAAATATACTGATTTTTTGTTGTTAAATGAAAGTCTCTTTGAAAAGACAAACAAAAAACTCAGATTATGTGCTATGCTAAGGTGCCATATGTTGCATAGCTCAAGTACAATTTTGATTTTTTTTCCTGTTTGGATTCTTCCATGTCTCCTAGTCCTCACAGTATCACTAAAAAAAAAAAAAAAAAGCTACCACCTGAGTATAAATTACAGTGCTAAATGTATATAGCCCTGTTGTTGTTTTTACAGATGATTACATCTTCAAATTAATCATCACCACCCAACACTTTTCCCCAGCTTTTCTGTTTGCCAAGGTGAGACAGCTGAGATTATTATAATTTATAACATTTTTTTAAAGCACCTCTTTAAAATGTTGGGTAATAGCTGAACAGGGCTTTTCAAAATGGCCTAATAAGAGCAAGAGAGAAGACCCGCAAAATACTGACATTTTGTGATATTATTGATTTCAGAAAGTGACCTCTGGAGGTAAATATATGTATAAACTGATAAGATCCCTCCTCAGTCTTCTCTCCTCGAGGCTATATAGGCCCCACTTAACCTCTCCGCAACAGGCACTGAAACTTAAATTCAAGAGCTGTGATAAACAGGGCTGAGTCCAGTTGGAGGCCTGCGGCCAGTGGTGTCCCGCAGGGGTCAGTGCTGGGCCCGGGGGTTGTTTCAACTTGTTCATCAATGACCTGGACGAGGGCACGGACTGCACCCTGGGCAAGTTTGTGGACGATACCAAGCTGGGTGGAGTGGCCGACACTCCGGAGGGCCGTGCTGCCATCCAGAGGGACCTGGACAGGCTGGTGAGTCGGGCAGAGAGGAACCTCATGAGGTTCAATAAGGACAAGTGCAGGGTCCTGCAGCTGGGGAGGAATAACCCCAGGCACCAGGACAGATTAGGGGTCGACCTGCTGGAAAGCAGCTCCATGGAGAGGGACCTGGGAGTCCTGGTTGACACCAAGTTAACCATGAGTCAGCAGTGTGCCCTCGTGGCCAAGAAGGCCAATGGGATCCTGGCCTGCATCAGGAGGAGTGTTGCCAGCAGGTCAAGGGAGGGGATTCTGCCCCTCTCCTCAGCTCTGGTGAGGCTGCAGCTGGAGTACTGGGGACAGGCCTGGCCTTCCTAGGACAAGAGGGACATGGAGCTTCTAGAGAGGGTCCAGTGGAGAACAACAAAGATCATTAAGGGACTGGAACATCTCTCGTATGTGGAGAGACTAAACGAACTGCGCCTGTTCAGCCTGGAGAAGAGAAAGTTGAGAGGAGATCTGATCAGTATGTGTAAGTATCTGAGGGGAGAATGGGGCCAAACTTGGAGGTGGCCAAACTTGGTGGTGGCCAGTGACAGGACAAGTGGCAATGGGTACAAGTTGAAACACAGGCAGTTCAATCACTGTGTGAGGAAGAACTTCTTCACTGTGCGGGTGACAGAGCCCTGGCTCTGGCTGCCCACAGAGGTTGTTGAGTCTCCTGCTCTGGAGATCTTAAATGCCATCCTTCTTGGATGCCACCCTGTGCCACATGCTGTAGATGTCCCTGTACACCGACTATTTTTCCTCAAGATGCTGGAGACCAATACCCCAACAGCCGACAGCCGTTACCCTTCCCAAAACACTCCTCTTTTGGCCTATAGTGTGCAACTAGTTAGTGACTAACAAATAAACTAAAATGAAATAAGGTAACGGGACAGAAGACTTGGCTTTCACATTTGGATTTTGAGCATTTCCCATAGCCGACTTAAAAACTTTTGCGTGAAAAGATGTTCAACATCAAGGTCATGAATTAAAAATTAACAGGTACAGAAAAAGATCTTGGAAAGCAGGATCAAATACTGCACTAAGAAGCTCATGAAAGAGACTACTCAAGTAGGACCCACAAGGCTGCCTTCTCAGTCTGTTGTCTACTTACTCCTGAAGTAAACAACAAAAATAACCTAAAAAGAGTCATTTTTGACAACATGATCGGTACTTTCCTTGAAAACCTGCCATAGAATACCAAATACAAGTTTACTGTTAGTGTGTTGGTTCTACAACAGGAAGATAAATTCAGTTCATAGAAAACTTCTCACCAGATGCACCTGTTCAGAGGCTGCACAAATTCAGTACTAAGAGCCTTTAGGTAAACATGAGAATGGATTTACATGAAAAACAAAATTGGTCTCTGTTAGTCAACCTTTTTAAGATCCACCTCATAGAAATATAAGCACAAAGAATAAACTTTTTAAATTAAAAACAAAGTCCAAACAATCTGTTGAAAACAGTAATTTATTTTTACAACATAAACATGAAAATATTTAAAGTTATATTTACAAATATATACAAATAGTTAAAATATGTCTCATAATTCAGAAAAAATAGCAAACCTAAGTATTTTCAGCAGTATATCCAAGGTATTTTTTCCTCTTTTTTTCCTTTCCTTTTTTTTTTTTTTTTCCATTGGAAAGGGTAAGTTCACAGTGACTTCTTAATGAGTGAAGAACGAAGGCACAGCAACAAGATTCAAATAAGGCAAATAATCAGTTAAAATAGTATTCTGAACTTTCACATTTTAAAATTAAGGCAAAGCCTCAAAAATAGTAAAATCTAGAGCCCCTACACAATTTTATATTAAAATGGACCTCATCCGCTTCACTTTAAATTTTCACTATGAAAGCTTTTAAAGACTTTTGGTACAGGAAGAGCAAACATTTTAATTAAAGCAGAATTTATGCTTTCCCCTTCTGCTAGTTTTCTTTCATACTTTAAAGCGAATTTTTTTTTTTTTTTTTGGAGGGGGGACTGGTTTGGGGGGTAGGTTGAATATAGGATAGCTGGAAGCATTGTCATATTTGTTCTTCTTTTATATCTGAAAGAACATTTATGGCTTATCTATCAGCCTGTATTAGGATGGATCACAACCGCCGCAGGTTCTGTTTGCTTTTCTTAGTCCCAGGAAGCGGCCCGAGCTTACAGCTTGATTTCAGTGGTTTGCCACTCATACAGTCACTGGAGCTGTGGTAGCTGCACATGCACTTCGTGCAAAAGTCAAAGCCACAGCTTTCCCGGCTGCACGTTGCTCTGTGTAGATAGGAGTCATACTTTGCAGGCGAGCCACAGCGATGGCAGACTTTAAGGCTTTCAAAGTTTTTCAGGGTCTTGGCAGTCTATTGGAAAAGAACAGAGAGAATCATGAGTGGAAAATAAACACATATCCCAAATGTTCCACAGAACACACTGCATACGTTAGTTTTCTCTTAAGAGGAAGAGATTACACTTTTTATTTAACTGTTTTATCAAATTCTGATGGAGATTGAACAAGAATCTATAACCACAGATATTTTCAATTGGTTTAGAGGTAATCAATTTAAAATTCTTGGTGTTGGTACAGTTACAAGTGACTAAACCACTGAATAGACAAATTAAATACTAAGCAGCAAGAACTGTAACCCGAATCTAATCATTGAACTGAATTCTCCAAACCTCATCCAAAAACAGGGATTTAGTTAGCTCTTTCCATAAAATAAAAATCTGGACTCTATTTAAATTGCTGCCAATATTTCCTGGATACCCCTTGCTTATTAACAATGGCTTTCAACTGATTGTCAGTCTTGTCACAGGAAGAATATTCATTTCAGTTTTCAAAACTAACTAGTTTTTGGCTTTTCTAGAAAACAGAAATTGACCATCAACACTGAAGCAAAATCGACAGCTTCTGGAAATTGTATATCTGGGAAGAGCTAGATTCATCAGCAGAAATGAAATGGAAGTGGCTGAACTTTTTCATATCTGGGCCATTGCAAAATCTAAACAAAAAAAAGTCGCAAGGCCATTTTTGACAGTACCTAAGCATTCTGTGCAGGGAGATGTAAAAGAATGTATTAATATCCTCCAGGTAGTTTGTGACAGTTTCTAAAAATTGGCTCAATAAGAAAAAAAAACCTCTGATAGCCATCCCGATTTAAGGATGTATCTGACATGCGAGTTAAATATGAAAGAAAACAATGGATACCTCAGAAAACTCGATCAGCCTGCTGTGATTCTTAGACGTTTTGGATCTGTTGCCTTTTTTACTGAAGTTTGGTGGGGCGGCTTTCTGAACAGAAGCCAAAGCTGTTCGGTAGATAACATATTCCCTTGTTCCAGCATGCTCTGATGTTTTGCTGCCATCCTAATAAAAAGAAAAGCATAAAATCAGATCAGCTAACTGCTTATGGAATATGAAGTGACTTCTTGTTTAGTACAAGCTAATTTATCTTGTGCAAAGCAAAAACTCTATTTCTTACATAGAACAACTTAGTTCTTTATGATTCCAGTCAGTAAGAAACAGCTAGACACCACTGATGCAAGCATTCATCCAGCTAGGTTTGATTCCCATCTGCATTGTACATTGCTTAGCTTGAAGTGAAAGCTTGGAAAATCAGGAAGAAGGGAGGAATTGACTCCCCAGAAAGAAAAGGTATAAGCGTTCATCTTCGCCATGAAGAAGCAAAGCTGAAATTAGTGACCACGTTTGGTGGCAGCATTCTGTTGGTTTCATTGTCTTTCCATCATGAAAAGAGAACAAACAAGGACAAAGAGAACAAAAAAAGACTCCTGGTGTTTCAGAAGAGTCCTGCCTTAACGCTAGGATAGCTGGACCTCCTTTTATACAACAAATATGCTGGGCATTAGGAGTGGTTTATACACAAAGGCCTTTCAACTATCTGTAGCTGACATTGCACTTCAGAAACCGCTGCTGGAAGGCGCAAGTAGGAGACCCAAGTCTCCCTGCTGCCTGGTTAGTCTCTCTCGCTCTTTCTGCCTCCCGGGTGAGTGGCCATGCTGAAGCAAGCGAGCCATTTGCTGAGGCAGGGCTCAGCTCACCCAAGGGGCAGTGCTGGAGCTGGTGCTCCTTTTCCTTTGTAATACAGGATGTGTGGAAGGGAAGGGTTACCCATCTCCTTGGGTAACCTTCTCAGAAACCATTTCTAGACTTCAAAATAGTTAAGGCACTAAAGACGGAGTGATTCGCAATGCTTAAGATAGGGTATCCTAAGAGGACATATTCAAAGACTGCAGTGAAACTGTTTGCAGCCAGAGATCTCTTTTGTGATTCCTTAAGGCTAGAAATAATTATGAAGTAACAGAAAGACACTACTGACTTAGGTTTAAAATATCAGAAAGTGCAAAAACTTACAGAAATGTTTCTCACAGCTTCATTATATTTTTGGAAAGCCCGTTTATCATCATGCAGAATCTTCTTCCATGTTGTGCTGACTTTGGCAACACTGTAATGAAAGTAGAGAAATGCCACTTACCATCTAGGAGAGGGTAAGAAAGGGTATTATTCAACAGTAGGAACAATTTTGCCCTTAGGTGATAATATTATAATAATATACATTGGGCAAATGTTACAAGCTTCATATCTAAAATATTCTTAAGCCACCTGATTAGGTTGTTTGCTTTCCCAAAAAAATACCTAGAAGATCAACATACTTACTTTACTAAATCCATCTCATCGAGATGCCTTAAGATGCTAGTTAGTATATGCTTCAAGTTCTTTTGGAAGAGTTCAGCAAGAATATCTATTCTGTCTAACCCCATTTTCTTTCCAATTAGGTTATGAAGTTCAAACTTTCCCCTAAAAACAATCTTGTCTATTGCAGTCCAAGACCTGAGATTTCTTTTACCATTTTTTTTCAAAGTGGAGCAAATCATTTTTTCATAATGGATAACTGGCAACAAAGTCTTTGGAAACTGCACTTGGCTTTGGTTCTTCATAAGACAGTGCCTTGGTGTGCCACAGAGATTCCCAGCCAAGGGAATGCTGTCCTCGTGCTCCGTTGGATCGCTGTACTGGTTGCTTAACATAGAGGAGTAACCACTGTCATCATTAAACTTGCTAGTATCCAGGGCCTCCATTTCATAGATACCTTCATCGAGTCTCTGGGTTACTTGCTTGTTTTCCTTGTTATGCACAGGCTTTCCTTCATCCTCAAGATCTCGATTCCTGAGGACAGTGTGGTGTGATTCACTTGCAGGTACTTTTTGATGCTCTTTGGCACAGTCTTTACAAAACCCTTCCTCATAACTCAAGGGGCAGGATTCTCCCAGGCTTCTTTTTTCCATGGCAGACTTTGACAGTGTGAAGCCAGTGTGAAGAGAGGTGCAATTAAAATCACATTTCATTTCGAAAGAATGGTCAAGGTTTGCTTTCATTACTTTGTTCATATCCTGCAACAACAAAGGCGGCGTTAATACAAGGCTACGTAAACCACGTCACAAAGCTTTACTTCTTTCAAAGGAAAGCTGTCGTCCTTCTTCATTTGTACTGCCAAGTATGAATTTTAAGCTTTTATCTGATTGACCCTTTAGTGCCTAAAAACAACTAAGGATGAGAGCAGCCAACACTGCAACTATGTGAGATTCTCTCAGAACGGGTGGTTTGGGAAGTCTGACGGGATCATTTACATTGCCTCCATTCTGTTAAGTACAGACTACTTTTGGACACCCCAACGACTATTCCTTGCCCTAAACACAAGCAATATGCTCAGGACTCGTGCAGCCCCTGCAGGAGACGCTGCTGAAAGCCATTCCTGCTGCCCATGCACGGCAGCAGAGCGCCCAGAAAGCTCCCGTGGGCGCTGCCGGGGCAGAGCCACCAGAGCGGCTGGGGTGGATGCACCAAGCCAGGAGGGGGGCAGTCGATGCAGCCAGATACCCTGCAACGCAGCGGGACGGGGGGCAGTGCAAGGGAACTGCCAGACAGCATGTTCGTTTGTGCACCTAAATTGGCAGGGAAGGTGGGGACCGCTGAGCAATGGTTAAGGTGGAACATGGCAACAGGCGGGCGCTTGTGCATGGGTGGGAGATGTGGGCCCTGGCACTGAGAGATAGGGAGAAACTGCTTTTCTTGACCAATTTCTCGCCCCTCCCCCAAGCGCGAGGCTATCTATATTAGCGATTGTGGGGGATGGGAGAGGCGCTGAAGGGAAGGAGGAAGGCGCCTCTGTTGTATTAAATGTAAGGAAAAATTAATGTTCCACGAGCCTTTGCAATATGAATGCTAAAAATAATTCCATATTTGAATAAATATTTCGGATGACTTAAGCAATTTTTAATAATCTTGGAGGGAAGAAAAAAAATGAAAGAAAAAAAAAAAAAGAGAGAGAGAAGGGATATGGAGGGAATTCAAGCATAGTCCAAAGGAAAAGTCCCTTCTGACCGATGATGGAGGGAATCATGGCGAAAATACACGTAGCTTTTTGTGCTCTGTGGGCGAGGCACAGGGTAGAGATGGGGCCCTTCCTAAGCGCCTCTTTCCCCCCTTTCCCTCCCAGCACTGGGGTCCGCCGGGCTGACCCGCCCCGCAGCAGGAACCGGCCGCTCCCGCACCCGCCGCCGCCAGCGCGGGAGCCCCAGCCCGCCGCGCCCTCCGCTCCCGCGCCCGGGAGGACGCGGGGCCGGGGCAGGTCGAGAGGCTGGGCGGGGGCCCGGCGCTGCTCCCCGCTCTGCCCCGCGCTTTCCCCCCAAGATGGTGGCTCGGGGCGGGCGGGCGCGCGCCGGGGGG